ATATCATTGGTGTTGATAGTGCGATGTAAATCCGCAGAAGGTTGAGTTGACTGTGGCGGGTTATAAATGATCCTGTATGAGCTGTGTCAGCAACTCGGCCAATGGTCCCTTCCAACTGGCTGTTTTGAAGTTAACCAAACTGTAGTGGCAGCGACTTGTGTGCCTGCCCGTTGAGCCATCCGGTGCAGACGACGGCTGATAATATATGATAATTTGCCTCCAAATTGTTGGAAGAAAGAACCGGGCTACCCAAGCAGTGACTTGCTCGTACTCAATAAACAGCTCATGTAGATAGATGCGACCCGGTGTATCGATGAAGACCAGCCCGCGAGAGACGGACGGTAAAGACGACCGCAGCATCAGAAGCGGCACGGACAGATGAGTCGGCCGTGGTGTTGTAAGCCGGTGCGGGCGGGAGAGTCGGCCGCGGAGGCGGACGTGTGAGTTATCTGTGGTGTTGTAAACCGGTGCAGACGGGTGAGCCGGCCGCGGTGTTGTAAGCCGGTGCGGGCGGCCGAGTTAATTGCACTGTGTTGATGTAGCGGGAGCGGCGACTTGCGCACGTATCCGTCAAGCAGCACGGCACTGACAAGCGCTAGGGTAAAAATAATGCTGGCCCCTTTTGCGACACCCCTTGTAATGAATAATGGTCCTGCGAGAAAATACCATAGACCAAGTAATTGTTCTCAAATAATTGATATGTGCTGATAAAATACTAAAAAAGATAGCACCTGGTGATTTTGTCGAATGAGCGCAGACGCTGTCAATACATAATGCTGGACGGTGTGGAAAAAAATAGATGACATACTGCTGTCATAATACTTGTAGTACTGTTCCAGGCCTCCACGTGGGTAGTAATCCACCAATAAGTAATCAAATCAGCCTTGACGTAATTGATCCAGTAATAGTGTATTTTGCTTTGTGTCTTTGGGATTTAATCCAGCATCTTGACTTCCATCGACCTGCTGTAAACTTAATAATAGTACTTGTCCATTAAGATTCCTGCTCCATTATTGTCGGCAGACTAGTCTTCGAATCATCATGCATGCATGCACTGCTCCATTCCTCCGGCTGAACCCCCAATTTTCTTTTGTTTTGTACTGGCGAGACACGACCACATCAGCAGGGGACGCCTTGGCAAAGCGGAGATGAGTCACGGGCTTACGGCAGAAGAAACGGCGGGAGCGGCCGCACGGGGCATCTCAAGGCGGAGACGGGTCATGCGACAGCAAAGGAGGAGTCCGACCCCAGACGGAGCAGTGCGAGGGGCAGTGTGGCCGTTTGGCTAGGAGGCAGACAGGGTGTGCGGCCGCAGTGGCTCGATGCGCCGGCGGGGGCAGCTCAAGCGAGCTGGAAGCCAGAGTTGCGGCAAAGGAGGCGAGGGCCACGGTGTCCGTGGCGGCTCAAAGCACATAGTGGCGAGGGCCACGGTGATCGTGACGGCGACGTGGCGGCAGTGGTTCGAGGCCAAGGCCAGCCGAGGAGGGCAGCTTGAGGCCGAAACGGCGGCGGCTCGAAGGGCCGTCGCTCTCGCAGCGGGCCCGCGGGCAGTGGCAGAGGCAGCCGCGGTGGTTTCGCAGGCGTAGGCTCGCGGACGGCCACATGCGGTTCATCATGGAGTGGTTCAGCAGCAGGATACCAACGAGGCGGCGTCAGTGGAGACTAGGACGCAGACATGCAAGCCGCCAGGCAAATCAACGGCCATCACCGCATCGCTGTAGGTGATCTGCTTCATACGAGGAACAAGACGCTGCTGGTCGCCTCTGATGGGCTCTTCTTCTTTTTTATGTATATTTCCCTTCTTTTGGTAATCAAGGGCCAGTCCAACTTGATCACTTTTCTTTTCCTTAATTCTGAATTTAACCTCCTCGTAGCTTCCTTGTAGTAATCAGGGTTGACAAAGAAAAAACGAACTTGGCCTGTAATGATGTACTAATCCAAAACGTACTCTCCTTGGAGTAGTGTTCAACTAGCATTATGAAGTGCCAGTGAATTATTCCAAAAAACAATCAGACTGCGTAAATTGCGTTTCAGCTTGTCGTAGTACTAGAACTCCGATCTGATGCTTGCTACGAGTAGTACAAGAAGCGCCTGCCTCGGGACTTGTTGATGTATACGTGGGACAATAGTGAAACTCGGCGGCTCAAGTGAACCGCGCGCGTACGGCGGCTGGAGCAGTATTTCTGTTGAACTCGGCGACACGCGACAGCTGTAGTAGAAATCGATCTCTTATCCGTATTCGACGGCTCGTGTAGCGTCGGCGGTACACAGAGCACCAAACCCTAATTTTTCTTCATACTGCAGTCTTCAAAATTAATCATACTTTTGACCACCAAACGATGGGTTTGCCGGATCTGCACAAGGTTTTTCCATGGTCGCTTATCTTGCGCGATTGTTCCATGCTGGCTCTTCTTTATCCGATCAATCATCAGCTTCTCGATCCCTAAAGAGTTCCCTCCAAGAACTTAACACCACTGTGCGAGAGCCCCACGGTGGGCCCAACTGTCATGGAATTGTTACAGCAGATGTCCTTATTGTGAGGACTTAGTCGCGAGGTCAACGCATCTATGTGGTAGCTTGAGAGGGGTTGATCGGGATGAGAGATGCGAGGCGGATCAACACACAAGACAAGGATTTAGACAGCTTCGGGCCCCGGGAAACATCATCCGGTAATAGCCCTACATGCTGTTTGTGGCTAGATCTCATTATGCTCATGAGGGAGTCGCCGGTAGCCGGCTCTCCTCTAGTTGTGTCTAACCCTAGAGATTATTGCTTGTCCCTCTTTGGGTGCCCTACCCCTCCATATATATGTTGAAGGGGCGGGTTACATGACTAGTCCTAGTAGGATTAGAATTACTCTATTACAAGTGGAGTCCTGGTCTTGCTTCCTTTGTAGGAGAATATTCCTTATGCTTTCTCTTAAACCGCCCCACCATAGCATGAGCCGGCCTGCTGGGCCTTTGGCCTTATCGTCCGTCTGATCCGCCCGCCGGGTCTCCAGTGAGTCACAATGTCCAGGCGGGGTACCTGTAAACCTCCATGTTCGGCTGGTTTGCTAGTGAATCGCCAAGTCCGGCCGGATCATAATTCCGGCCAGGTCATACCGCGGGGTATATCCCCGATATTTACCTTGAAATCCTGAACCGGAACTGCCTCCTCCATAACCCGGCCCATGAGATCCGATGCCTGAACCGCCGGCCGGTCCATAATCATTCTGAAAAAAATCTGAATTTTTGAACTCCCGCATAATATAACAATCCTTCCAGAGGTGCGTGGTCGGCTTATCACGCGACCCGTGCTTTGGGCAGGTCTGGTTCAACAGGTAAGATAGGCGCTCTGGATTGGGACTTGGCTCTCCTCCACGCGGGGGCGGTTTACCCTTATGACGCTGACCATTACCCTGCGCATTGGTATTAGCCAAAAAATCTAAACCATTATCCGCCTTACGCTTACCACTGTTTCCATGAGCCGCCGGGTTATGTTGTCGCCCTTCTTTCCCTTTCCTGTCTTGTCATCATCAGATTCATGGTCCTTGGTACTATCAGAGTCGGCATACTTCACCAAGGCTACCACAAGAGTCCCCATGTCATTGCAGTGACGTTTGAGCCGTCCCAACTTCAACTTCAGAGGTGTAAACCGGCAATTGCCTTCCAACGTTGAAACTGCTGTATCAGCATTGATGCGGTCTGATGAGTGCAAAATTTCCGAAACCCGGCGCACCCAATGGTTTGTTGACTCTCCTTCCTCCTGGACACAGGCAGTTAAGTCCACAATTGACATGGGCTGCTTGCACGTGTCTTTGAAATTCTGAATAAACCAGGCCCTTAACTCGACCCATGACCAATGGAGTTAGCCGGCAGATTTTTCAACCATGTGCGAGTTGTTCCCTCCAACATCATGGTAAAGTATTTAGCACACGCTGCATCGTCCACATCCAGCATCTCCATTTCCATCTCATAGCTTTCAACCCATGACTCGGGGGATAAATCAGCCACGGGGCGGAAAACAAACAGGAACTATGTAAAAAGATACTAAGTCTTGAGCAGGAGATTGCAAATGTCGCCTCCGACTGCAACTGCATGTCTTCAACATGACTGCAACTTCGTAGTGTTTTGTCTGGAAGGCGCAATTGCATGCTGCCACTACGTATGCAACTGCAAGTGTTGCCTCTGACTGCAACTATGTGGTGTTTGTGTGTGTATGGGGGCTAGTTGCATGTTTGCCACTAGGCATGCAATTGCAAGTGTTGCCCCTGATTGCAACTCAATTGTGGTTCGTCAGGTGGAGGGAAATTGCATGTTCTCCACTACCCACACAACTGCATATGTGCAGACCAACTGCAACTTGCAACTCTGACACAAGCCGGGCGCCGGCACAAGTCGCCGGCTCCCCTCGTACCTATTGCTATCAAGTCATCATGGGTTACAACGTGTGGTGCCGGTCGATATATAAGAGGCCTAGGATACAACGTGTCCGACTCCTACACGACTCGTACCTATCCATACCAATTACAACTCCAAATCCACGTAACTCCTTGTGTACATAATATTCAACACAAATATAACATGTACAACAACAAAGAAAATACGACCACAATCAGTGAGACCATTGACGATTTTTACATGCTTCTAATGTTGGGACCGAAGAAAATACCCCTTTTGTGCAAACATGTATGTCCATCCAACGCAAGCGCAAGCGCAGAAACCAATCAACATAATCATACACTCCAGTTAATTACGTATTTACATGCCTTCATGTTGGGAAAGAAGAAAACATACAACGTACAAGTACCTCTCAGTTATTCATTACTATTTTTATGCTACTACGAATGGTTGGACCAAACCATACATACACAATAGTACAAGACGACATGCGTGTGAACTCAAGCTATACCATTGCAGCAGATCATCGGTAACATAAAAATAATAAAGCTAGAACTATTACAAATGATCTCCATATGTCTCATAGTGTACATTTGTTTTCCTGATTTGAGTGATCGTTCAGGATTTCTTTCTAAGGGGGAGCACCCATATCACTACAATTGCAACTGCAAACCCAACACCAAGTCCCAATCCAACAAAAAGGAACAACATAACATCTGCAGATTTCTCCTTCGAATTATGAAGCGCCGAACTTGGTGGTGTCTCATTGCTGCACTGTTTTGACAGTGAAGGCCCACATAACCCAGTGTTACCCATAAATGAGCTATTATCGAATGTCGAGAAATGAGGCGATTCTGGTATCCTTCCCTCCAGCATGTTGTTGGATAGGTTCAATGTTGTGAGGAAGTCGAGAGAGGATATCTCCTGCGGAATCTCCCCTAAAATACCATTTGATGAGATGTCCAAAGACTCCAGCTGGTGCAAATAGACGAACTGAGATGGAATCGGCCCTGTGAAGGAGTTGTGCGACATGTTGAGCACTTGCAGCAAAACAAGTTCTCCAATAGCTCCAGGGATGCTACCATGGATTGCATTGTTTGAGACATCAATGAATACAAGGGTTATTAGTATTTTGGTAAAGGAGACGGCATACCCTTTGTATCTGAGCACAGTGTTGACCTGGTATACTTGGTTTTGATAGCTGTTATACTCCATGACTGACGTTTCATTCACAACTTCAACCATCATGGACTTCAATCTAATAAACCATCCTTCTGTCAATGTCCCTGATAAGTTGTTGGAGGCCAGATCCAGGATCCGCAGCCTTGGAAACTCACAAGTGCTTTTCTCATAATCAATAGAAGGTGACACCTGTCCAAATAACTTATTAGACTTTAGGACGAGGACTTCAAGTCCGGGAAGTGCAGTCATCCAACATGGAAAAGAGTCACTAATTTGATTGTGTCCAATATCGAGGGCCTCCAGGTACTTGCAAGAAGCTAGAGATCTAGGCAACTGTCCTTCAATCTGGTTGTCACTCAAGTCTAGTGCCTCAAACTTGCAACTTTCATTGATATTATGTGGCAGCTGTCCAGAAAGTTGGTTTTCTTTCAGATTAAGAACTTGCAGTGCATTGTTATCCTCCATTAGGCATGAAGGAATTGAACCACTGAGGTTGTTGTAAGACAGATCAAGAATTGTCAGTTCTGTGCTACAAAAATATGGTGGAATATTCCCTGAGAGCTTGTTGCTTGATGCCTTGAAATAGGAAGTATCTTCAAGTTGAGTAGAAATATTAGGAGGCATGGAAGAGAAACAGTTGCTTGAGTAATCAAGCATCTCCCCGGAGTATTGGGGTAAAGGTATTATCCCCTCAAACATGTTAAAACTGAGGTCCAACATTTCTATATGAAAAGGAAGGAAGGTTTCGTACCCAACACTTTTAAATTCATTGTGTGATAAGTTCAGAACCAAAGGGCCATGGTCTGTCTATTTCTGCTATGCCCACTGGGGTATGGCACCATGAATTTGGTTACTCGAAAGATCAACTACTTTTATTTTATCTGTATGTCCCAGAATGTTAGGGAAATTATTTATGTTACATGATGCCAAACCTAGATATGCAATATTTGGGAAGGATATCAATGAAGAATTATGTTCTCCTTCTATTACACTTAATTTATTGTTTGAGAGATTCAAATCATATAGGTTTTGTAGTTTTCATAAGGAGTTCAATTGCACAGTGCCTACGAGATTATTCGAAGCAAGTACTAGGGTATCTAGCAGAGTTAAGTTCAAGATACCCGAAGGTATTTTCCCAGAAAAATTGCACTTATAAAGTGCTAATTTCCTCAATTTTGCAAATCACCAATGGAAGAAGGTATTGGCCCATTGAAGCCACAACAAGAAACTACTAGAACCTCTAGGGATGTTAGGTTTGTGATCCATGATGATATAGATCCTACTAGTCCCAACCCAGAGATCTGCAATGAATTCAAGGATGTGAGCCTACCGATTAATGAGGGTAGCTCTCCAGTAAAACCAAGTGCATCAAGGCCTAGCTTCTTCAAATGTTTGAGATTACTAATAGAATTTGGTACTGTACCAGAGAAATTGGTGTCACCGACAAACAAGTTCTCCAGCTGATTACTATCAGTTGAGAAATTCGGCAGATTACCTAATATGTTAGGATTGTGGTGAAGATCAATAGTCACTAGTTTCTTGTGCTGAAAGATCACAGGAGGGACTCGTCCTTCAATGTTATTATAACTAAGCTGGAGAACATTCAAGGAGGAGAAGTTGGCAAAGAACACTGGAATTGAACCGGTCAACCTGTTGTACTGCAGATCGACCACAGAGAGTGATTGCAAACCGACGAGAGATCCACAAATGGGACTCGAGAGCCTACAAAAGGGCAAGCTAAGAACACGAAGATTTGGAGTGTAATTGGCTAGAGCACTGCACCACTCTTCTCCTTGCCCGGACATATCCACCCAACCAAGAAGGAGCTCCCTCAAACTTGTAAGGTTTGCAACTAAGGCCGTTAAGTTAGGCAGTATGAGCTGATCGAAATGGACTTGAATCATATGGGTATGATCGTACCGCTCAGTAATTTCAGAGTAGGAGGAGAGGTCGAGAGAGACAAAATTCGTGAGGCAGCCTATACTATAGGCTGGCACTTGTCCTGCAAATTTGGAGTTAGAGAGGTTGAGATGGGTGAGCCTGGTGAGCTGCTCAAACCCGGTGGATGGGATTTCGGAAAGACTGAAGTCGTTTCCACCCAGGTTGAGATACCTGAGGGAGTTCAGCTCGAAGAGCACATGATCGAGATGATCACTCTCCAAGCCGCGATCACCCAAATCAAGGGAAGTGACACGGCCGCTGGTGGCAACGCAGCAGATGCCCTCCCAACGGCAGCAGTCCGTGCCAGCCTTCCATGAGTGGAAGGCCGCGACGGACTCGTCGGTGGTGGTGAAGGAACGTTTCAGCCGAAGCAGCGCGGAAGCCTGGCCTGGCAAGCATCGAACGGGTAGTATGGTGGTGTGGTTGGTGAACGTACCATGAGCCCAAGGGGGGTGTGAGCTTGCTGCCACGAGCTGAATTTGTAGGAGCAACAACAGCATTACTAATGGCACGGGATGCGGCATAGTGGAGAACATATGTGTAAGGGCGACTCTGTTTGGTTGGGTGGCTCAAGACTGAAAGAAAAGAGCTTGATAGATTTCTACCCTCTGCCTCACTTCCATTTATATACACGGTGGCTGAGCAGCCTCAGGCAGTCTTGCCTTCTATCTTTTGTGCAATACCATAACGATAACACACACACGGGTGGCAGCCAAGCCGTCCACGAGGTTTTCTCTTGCACTTGAATACTGCCTGGACGTGTTCTTATCTTGTGCCATATATCTTGGGCAATCGGGTTTTCGTTACTAACTAGTGACTGGACGTATGCAGCCAATTACTATATCACCATCCTCCGGTCAGTCAAGCTTGTCCTCGCCACAATAATTCCACGGAATGTTCAAAGCACAGTGACATCGGCCAATCAGGAGCCTCCTATCACTCTCCTTCAGCGGAGATAAATGACTTCCAGCCCAACAACAAGCACTTGTTACCTTTGATTTTTCTTGTTGGATATTTGGATACAAGAAATACAGTTATAAATTATGTTTAACAAAAAGGAAGAATGTAACTAGCGCCCTGTAGAAAAAACTATTCCAATGTTTTCGGCACTCCCCTAGTTTTTTCTGATAAAATAAACAACTGATCATGTTGCGTAAACATCAAATCTACGGTATATGTCCGACCTGACACATTTGTTTACTTTTGCAATTCAATGGAGACTTGTATCGGTATGCGAAGTGGTCCGGACGTCCGTTTTCCGGGAAATTGGAGACAAAAGTAGGAGAGATATATCGGGGCCCGGACATCCACTTGACCAACTAAAAGCCTCCATGCGATCCTCCTCTCTTTTCTCTCTCTTCACATGCATGGTCCCCTCTTCTCTCTCTCCTCCCAACCAGAAACCACACCACAAATAGCCACCACATGCATGGTCCTCACCTACTTTTTCTCCTCCCAGCCGGATACTTTGTAATTAGCCTGGATGGATCCGTCCCGTATCATGCCCATGGACCACATCCGGACACAAAAACGGACATATAATGGAGGAATTTGCGGGTCGGTGTTGGAGACGCCAGTAATTACTCCAAGAAGATGAACGGGCATATGATATCATCAGACCAAACAAAATGTAGGGTGCTTTGCACCCCTTTATGTACACAGTGCCAATGGCTGGTTGAGAAGGCATATGTAGTGCCATGTGCATCGTTATCACGGGGCCATGCAGCTTAGCCAATTACCGGATAACCATTCTTGGTCAGTCAACCTTCTACTCACCACAATATTAGCTTTTACTCCCTCCGTCCCATAATATAAGAACGTTTTTGACACTACACTAATGTAAAAAACGTTCTTATATTACGGGACGGAGGAAGTATTTTTTTTGTTAGAAGGACCACGCACAACGAAGTGTCTTGTGCACAATGAAATGTTCAAAACACAACTGTCTCGCCTCACCACAAAAATATTGTGGAAATGTTCCAAGCAGAGCAACATCGGTCCAAATCACTCTCCTTAATTGGAGATAGTGATTTATGGCCCCACGACAACCACCTGCTATTACTTCTGATTTTTGTTTTGGAATTTTGAAATGAAGGAATAAATAAAGTATGTTTAATAAACATACAAATAAGTGGATGTACTCCGAACGCTCAATACAAATAAGTGAACGTACTCCCATTGCTTCAGGCCTCCCCATGCAGTCTAAAACTACTGGTTCAGTGGTCCTGTCCTGTAAACATCTTAGGGCAGCTCTAGCTGATTTCCTAAATTTTAAAATAGTAAACGGCTGAGTAAACTTTAGAGGAGCAGATTTGCTCCGCTAAAAAAATGATCGTTTCCAGCCGATACTCTCAACTAAGTGGAGTAAAAAAAGCGAAGTAAAAATTTATTTGGCTTGTGCAATTCGTCAAACACTTGTTACGCATCTCGGCACAAGCGGCGACATTGATGACTACATCGGGACGAGCAGCACCAGCGGGAAGGACGCGTCATCGACGACCTCAGGACATATCATCACTTAAACTTAGGATGAAACAGAGTAAATAAAGCACCCCAATTCATCATGGTTTGGAGCATGACAGGGGAGCGAACGCCGACGATCAGCCCTGAGCACGCTGCAATACGTGATCACCTGGGCAGCCATGCAGTAAAATATTTTAGGCCTTGTACAATGCAGGGTGCCTCCACGGGGTGCTAGGTGCATTGTGTCTCAAAAATTTCTTTGCCTCCCAACGCATAGTGCTTCGTATGGGTGCCCAGGCTGCTTTGACATTCGCACAGCACCTGCACCCATTGACTCCAGTGCAGAGGTGCTCTGCTGCTGACATGGAGGTGTTGTCTTATTTTTATTTTCTACCGACAGAGGCTTTCTAGTGAAGCACACGTGATTTGAAGTGGGGCGGTTATTACCCTATGCATCGCCTGGCATCAAAAGCAAAAGTTTGCTTCTGCCTCCTTTCCTAAGCATCGGTGCAATCTAACCTTGAGGACAAAAACCCAGGTTTTTTATGGCACCTGTGTAAGCACCGATTCGCTTTACACGGCCTAACATGAATAAGTGATCAGCTAGATAAGGTTTAGCGAACCAAAACTGAAATTCTACTACTCTAAAGCTTTTCAAGAGATCGGCTAGAGATGCCCTTAGTTACTTCAGAGACACCACACAATATCACTCTCAGTAATTATTCAATATTGCAAAGACAAACATGCATGCCGGACCTGCTTTAAACTTTTCTCGCCGACCGACAATAGTGAACTATTATCTGCACAAACCATATTCATGATCGGTCGGTGATAAAAAATGATGGCTATTTACAAAAATCATAAAAATTACAAACTAATGAAACACATGGACATGTTACATACAGGAAAGAAAGAGCCTAAACACGAAATGAAAACACCAAAAAACTAAAAAGAGAAAAGAAAAAGTGGAAAGAAAAAGAAATGAAAGGAGCGGAGAAAAAATACAGAAAAGATAAGTCATCGGTGTCATTTGCTCTTACACCTGCAAGTCTTGCATATTGATTGTACTTGTCATAACCATGGGCCAAAGCACCTTGGCCAATCGGATTGCTCCCATCAACATCCTCCGGTCAGTCAACCTTGTCTCCTCACCACAAGAACAATACAGAATGTTCAAAACACAGTGACATCGGTCCAAATCACGCTGCTTAATTGGAGCTAATAATTTATGGCCCCACGACATGCACCTGTCTATTATTACCTTGGATTTTTGTTTCGGAAATTTGAAAGGAAGAAATACAGTATAAATTATGATCGATAGAAGGGAAAATAAAATAACAAAAATAATTATCTCATTGCTTCAGGCCTCCCCCTTGTGGTCAAAACTCAAAACTACTGGTCCTGTCATGTAAACATCTGTAGTTACTTCCGAGAGATCGAGCAATATCACTCTAATTACAGTTGGATGGTGTACAGTCGAGGGATATTAATTTTTTTCCGGGGAAACGAGGTTGATGTGTTGCCTCTT